CGGAAAGAGCCTTTACCGTGCCATGCATAACTTCATAATAATCTGTCAGTCAGCCAGTCTAGTCTCAGTCAGTCAGCATAACTTCAGTTGAGCTCAGCTCAACCAGGGTTTGACTTCGGCAACAACGCTTGATGAGTCTTCGCGGCAATGTTTTTTTGCGAGCATTTTGCGCGTTGCAACCAGCAGGTTTGTAGACAGGCAACGCCTGCTAACTGCCACATCACTAGCTTTTCCAAAAGGTATCACCTGCAACCTATAAATCACCCAAGAACAGCTTAACCCGGATATATGCATGCAACCATTGATAATAACGTTCCTGAACTTTAAACAAATATTTACTCCTCCGCTTTACACTTGCCCCACACGTTTTGCGGTGAGAATACAGGACAGTTTGAGTTTCATCTGGAATCTTGTGGTCATTGTATTTTAAAATGTCAAGCTGCGTTCCTTTACCATTCCAGGAGATTCACAGATTAGGGTTTAAATAAAGCTTTCAGACAGCAAAGCAGAAGTGCAACGCCGTGTGCAACAGAAAATGCTATCATTCAGTAATGCGCAATTAACGCATTTCAGTTAAAGCTCCTTTTTAGTTTGGCCTGCTTCTTTGTAATGCTGAGAGTGAGAGAGAGAGAGAGAGATATATATATACATATATATATATATAGATTTATATATATATACATATATATATATATATATATATATATATATATATATGTAGCCAATATGAAATTGAGATGTCTGACAAAATATGGCATGCATCTATTTCACGGACATTTACGCACGCTTCGGACACACAAGTTAACACGCGCACGGATGGCCGGCTGATTGCGGCGCGCCCGGAGGGGGAGGGGTCAATATGACCCCTGAGATCAACGAAGCAAGAGAACCAGAAACGCTTAACTCACAAGGAAGGAAGGCCTATGTTTGAACTTGCATATGTTAACTTTTGGATAGGCTTCGTCCGTCAAAATACCCGCTGACCGTTGGAGCAAACAGATTTAAACTCCAGATCGGCATCTGAAGCATCACCACATCTTCTCATGGAACCGTCCTGCCCTAGGCTCCTGTTCTACGTAAATTTGACTGGCGTTCTTTTTCAGGTCACACCACTTGGAACGGCTGTGCACTGCGGTCCGTAAAAAGTTGATATGGGTCATTTCAGGCCAATGACCTCTGCTGACCTGCAAGAAGCCCAGATAAGATGTCTGTGACGTCCCTGTGATCAAGAAATCTGAAAGGGGCATCAAAAACTACTACTTGCAGCACATTTTGTCGGTGAAAGGGCAGGTTGGTTTTGACCTCGGTCCGGCCGTCATTCTGACCCAAGTTCAACGGCGTTAGTCGCAACCTTAACCTCAGTTGACCAACTGTCCAACAAAGTATCTCAGATATCTACGACTTCGTTTAAAGGGAAGGGAGCGTCCCGCCAAGGGGCACAATTAAACAAAGAACATGCTACAGTAAAACCCCAGGAATACTTATGTCTAATAATAACGCTGGGTAGTGGTTGCTGAAACAGCGTCAAGACATAGTGCAAATATCAACTTAATTATTTTCTAGTCGTAATTGCGCTGTCAAAGCTTTGTAACGACATCACGCTTCTTCTCTGTAGTCACGACGACCGTCGTAACAGCCACCGTGCGCATCTCTAATGGTTGTGAATAAAAGATCGTTTGTGATTGGCCGAGCGATCAAGGGCCGGGAAGCGTGTTGGTCGAGGTTTGAACCAGTGCGTCATGTGGATCATGTGATGCTCCCATTTTCAAACCCAGTGTGCTTCGAAAAAAGCCCCTGTGGTGAGCGCCATAGGGAAGTAAGCAAAAGCCCGTATGCATAACGCTTCGTTGAATTCACGGAATAATAGGTATATAGGTAATAGCTCGCACATCTTTTTGTTTACACGAAATGTTTGAAGCTTTTGTAGCATTTATTACACAAACGTGTTGACACACTACCGTGCTGCAAGCACAACAGAATACACCCGCTGGAAAAAGGAATTCAAATTAATTTTATTTCTTTCGCAGTGGTGAGCATGGATGAAATGACATTTCTCCCGTATGGTCGACTGTTTCAGATCGAATTCTGAGCTATTCAAAAGGGTTTCGAGAAAACTTGCATTGTTAATTAAATCGTGCCACGTAGATGTAAAAATGAGTGAAAATCGAAAGGTGGGATGCTCCCTTCAATCTTCCGTTACCGCATCAGCTTGAACGGTTCCACAGAAATTGTCTTTGTTGCTAGTCATGGCCTAACTTCCACCTGTCATAGGTCCGCGCCGTGACTGTGTACATGTAACTTTCCGCACATAAAGACAATTTTATTCGATTGTCTACGTGCAGTAATACAATGAAATGTATTCAATAAGTGAGTAATAAAAACAACTTCAATAAATAATGGATAGTTGTCTACACGTAAAATTTGACGTGGTGTAACGGCGCCAAAACACTTTGTCATTGATGTAACGGATGTTTACCTCTCCAAAGAAACGTACGATTGTCGCATACCAATGTGCACCTCCCAATGCTACAATGGCTACGCCGTACCGGTCATGACTTATTTTGGGAAACATTCGGAAGGGGCAGTGGCCAATCAATCCCTGACCCGAGCTCGTGTTAGTGATAAGGCGTTGTGGAAGTCCTACTAACAGCACACGCATTTTCTACTTCACAATTACAGTAAACTCATCTTCATTTTTTTATAGCGCGTTTTTAGGTATCCAATGGAAGCAGCTTGCTTTAGTCCAAATCCTACACAAGTATTGGTCAATGTAACTCTTGATGCCATGGGAGCAAGCTAAGTGGACACATGTGGCACGACGCCAAATTGAATCCATGTTCTTAGCGTTCCACTCGCATATCACAGAAAATCTTAAGTTTAACTAAGCAGAACACTTCGCGGAGGGATGGGTGGGCACTGAACAAGTCAAAGACAAAAAGGAAACTGGAGAAGGGTATATGATTTGGCCGGATGGCTTGGCCCCTAAAATTGGTAGCTAGATTCGTTATTGTAGTTGGATGTTTTCCTCCCCATAGAGACGCATGTTTCTCGCATATAGCTGTGCACCTACTAACACTAAAATTCTCCCTCTCCTCGCAACGAAATGTCGTGGATGCTCTCGCCGCAAAATACAATCGTAACAGCTGAGCGGATACATGATACAATAACCCTCACACACCTAGAGCCATTAGACAGACCATGGTTTGTGAGGTTAAAGTGAAAAGCTCTGGAGTACGGGGATGACCTTAGCCCTTCACGTTAACCCCCAACCAAATTACAGTAAAATTTCCTACAACCAAAGTGTGTGCCGCCTCCCATGATCACCACAGAAGAGCGCCTTCGGCGCCCAAGGATGGTCTCAAGATTGGCCCTTTCACTGATCGATCAGAAGAGGCACGTGCGTGCAGTGCCCGCTCGCTGGATCTCCCCTGAATGACTGTTATGCTGCTTATATTAAAGAATGTTTATAAACCACGCAAGCATCAAAACATTTCTATTCCATTATCTCAAAGTGGGCTGTGTCGCTGAGAGAATGTGAGAAAGGCTGCCGGGCCGTTGGTTCGGCCCCCCATAATTTACAAAAATTGACATCCCTGCAAAGACACAAACCTTATGGCACATCACAACACACCACGGCGTGCACGGCACATGACGCCTTGTCATCTCCGCGGCACAACTGATTCCCCGACGGGGGGTCACCACTGGAGTCGCAGTTGTTTCCAAAATGTCATCCGGCAGCCCGGCCCGCCGCGACCAAATAGGGATTTAGCACGCAGTGTATATATTGAAATGTCGAATTGTTAAATCATGACCACCTGCAAAACACAACACAGACGTGGTACAAGCGCTTTAAAACTATTGCCTTCCGCACTCATGGTGGATTACGGACAACGCGCGTGCACGGATTTGCTAGCAGGTTCAATCGGCCAATTGTGTCGGTAAAATGGTGTTCGGCTTTCGGAACTGGGGAAAACAACCGAACCGTAAGCGCGGAGATCGAAAGGGAGGCCATGCACAGGGTAATTTATGGTTCAGTGGGCCGTTTTACCGGTGGCAGTTACCATCTGACCGTGGAATTAAGAAATCCAAATAAGACTTTGATCTTAAGTCAAAACAACCCATATTTGTTTCGCAAACTGGGGCAAATATTTTCTGCGATAGAACTATAATTTTAGTGACCGCTGGCACAGCGTTGTGCAGATTATGACGGTGAGTCTGGAAGCCGGCACGCCATGGCCATGCGCATTTTCAAAACAGGTTTTCAATTATAAATGTAAGAGCGTGCAGCACAAGGTTCCATTTTCGTAATTAACCACACTCAAACCAGGTTGTGCTTTTCTCAAGCGGCGCCTCGCATATATTTGCCGTGACTGGAGGTGGTGGTTGCACGTTCGTAGGCCTATGCCAGCCAAACAAAACATGAGAAGCCGCCTTCATTGTCCGTGTGCGTATCAGGGACGACATTATCATGCTCATTACGTTCTATCTCAAACTGGGAGCCAATTTGCGACGATTGGTGCAAAGTTAAAGCGTAGGCCAGTTGGGGGCCCACATCTCAGACAGAGCACCCGACTATCAGCCGCCTCTGCCAGAACAGATCCAGATTTCAACCCTTGTGGTGCATTTCATCTACAGCTGTGTTGACCAGTGAGCGACGCTAGGACAATGTACGTCACACGGCTTCCTTGTGAGCTCAATAAGCATGCATAGTGATGCTGAACTATCGTTTGTGTGTGAAACCAGAGAATTCAAGTGCACCTCGCCCCTAACAATAAAGACACGATATGTCGCTGTATTTATTTGCATCACCCTACTGACTGCTGCTCAGGAAATCATACCACTTTTGTTTTTGTTGAGATTTTTAGTCAGCAAAAGCCCGCCAAGTGTGGCCTACAGTCAGGCCGGCGGGTTCTTGCAGGGTCCGATGTGGCGGTTTCTAAAGTTGCGTCTCTGGTCACCCCAGAGAAAGGCTCGACAGCGCTAAGCAGAATTGCACTCACCAGGGAGGAGAAGGCGCATTGCAATCACCATCAAAAGCCGGACGACCGCCACTTTCATGCTTTCTGAAAGACAGAAATCCGTGTCAATGACGGCGTGTTCGTTCAAGAAATGCCGGCTGCACCCGGGTGGATGGCACCATCAATTATGACAAGGCTTCATCAATTCCTCAATCACTTGAAGGTCATCCCTGGCGAGTGGGCGAGCGAAAGGTTCTGTGGAGTTTGCTGCGCTGTCAGTTCAGATCGCCCCATTGCTGTCAAAGGCTAGTCAATTCCAGTCGGTTTAAAATCTGCTGTGGCTTGGTCAAATTGTGAATTGCCCCTTTCTCCCTCGACCCTTCCAATAAATACTACGAACCATCCTGGAACGTTAACAAAGTAATTTGATGCGCACACCGACAAATTTGCTCTGAGGGTCAAGGAGTCGCACAGATCCAGGAGCGACGTCTCAGCTCGCCTCCAAAGGCAGCAACGTCCCTGGGCGGCATCCCCCGTTCCAAGCTGGTGTTGGACGTTACCAGCTGGCACTCGGCGTGCAAAGATGGCACCCAACGTCCCCAGCTGGCACTCGGCATGCACGGGTGGCACCCAACGTCCCCAGCTGGCACTCAGCATGCACGGGTGGCACCCAACGTCCCCAGATGGCACTCAGCATGCACGGGTGGCACCCAACGTCCCCAGATGGCA